AAGATTAAGTGAACTTATTTTAAAATTTAATTAAACATAATAATATAATATACTATTAACCATAAATATGTAAAGATTTAGTTAAAAATTAATTTTAAGTTTTATCGTTTTTATTTAAAAAAATCAAAATAATTAATTAAAATAAAGAATTTTAATTTAATAAATGTGTTAATATTATTAGTTATTGGAGAATTAAATTTATAATAATAATTATATAAAATTATAGAATTAATAAAATTTAAATTATTGGTATTTTTTTAATCATGAAGCTAAAATTTGATAATATTAATAAATTAAAATTATATATATATATATATATATATATATATATATATCAATTTAATTATTTTAATTAAAAATAATTTCATACAAAAACTAATATTTGAAAATAAAGATGCAAAAGTATATAGTTTTTCTTTTATTTAATTATATTTTTTATTTTTTACTTTTTGGGTTTTAATCCATAACAACAATTTAATTGCTCTAAAATTTTCACAAAAATATGTAATTTCTCTTATTAACAATTTTTTTTAATCAGATTAAGAAAATTATTACTAATAAGATTCAAAACCAGTAACTTAGAGTTAGATATTAATACTCCAACCACTAAACTGTTAGAATTTTTTAATAAAAATTTACAAATAAATTATATTTATATACAAATAAATATATATTCGTGTAAATATATAAATATAAAATATATAAATACAAATATATTTATATATTTTGATATATTTATATGTTCGATGTGAGGATCACGCTAGGGGTGAAAGTGTGTGTCGAGTGAGTTTTCAAAATTTGATGTCAAATTTGTGGCGAGTCTCTTTATATTGATTTGTAATTTAATGATAGAATATAATCTTTATAATTTATTTATATAATGATATAAAATAATTGTTTTCTTTATTTATTTTTATTTTATTTTAATTTATTCTTTTTATATTTTTTTCTTCTATTATTTAATTAAAATTCTTATATTAAAATAATTTTTCATTATTAAAAATAATTAAATATTTATTTTTAAAATTATTTAATTTAACAAATTATTATGAATTAATCTATGTCTGGAAAAAATAATTATTAAAAGATGATTTTGATTAATTTATAATAATATATGTTAGGAAAAAATTGTTCTATTAATAATCATAATTAGATTAATTTATAATAATTTGTTAAATTAAATAATTTTAAAAATAAATATTTAATTATTTTTAATATTGAAAAAATTATTTTAATATAAGAATTTTAATTAAATAATAGAAGAAGAAAATATAAGAAGAATAAATTAAAATAAAATAAAAATAAATAAAGAAAAAAATTATGTTATATCATTATATAAATAAATTATAAAGATTATATTGTGTCATTAAATTATAAACTCATATAAAGAGACCAGCTCATAAATTTGACATCAAATTTTAAAAATCTACTCGACACACTTTCACCCTCGAGTGCGCCCTCACATCACATACATATATATATATATATATATATATATATATATATATATATATATATATATATATATATATATATATACGGATATATATTTTTATTTGTATATAAATATAATTTATTTATAAACTATTATAAAAAATTCCTAATAGCTAAGTGGTTAGAGTATCGATCTCTAGGAATGGCAAAGCGGGCTAGGCCGACGGGCCGGCTCGTTAGCCGGGTTGGTGTTTTCGGCCCACCAGCCCGCTTTGGCCGTCCCGCCAAGCTCGCCAACCCATCGGGCCAACCGCGGGACGAGGCGGAGCTAACCCGCGGCTCGCCTAATTAATAAAAAAATAATTTTTTATTGTAATAAAATTAATTACATCGATAATATATAAAGTTAAAAATTTTAAAAAGAGAATTAAAAAAGTTTCATTCTCACGAGAAAATATTCTTCTTCCCGAAATATAACCTTCTCTCTTATTCTCCTTATTTATCCTAAGCACTCGATTATTTTTATCCTTATTACTTGAATTAAAGGTGTAAGAATTACTCAACCAAGAATAATATGAAGTTTTATCAAATAAAAAAGATATAGGTATTTAAATTTTTCAATATAAAAAATATAAATTTTATAAGTTTAACGTTATTTATATATATATATATATATATATATATATATATATTTGTTATTATTTATTAGTATGTAAATTTTATTATTATTCTAAATTATAATTTCTTAAAATAATGCATTGATTTATATTATTAAATTGAAATAATATATATATATATATATATATTGAATTATTGACAAACAAATAATAATCTTATTATTAAATTTATTAAAAAAAATTATTTTAAAAAAATTATTTTTTCTAAATTATGGTGGGCCGACCGTAAGCTCGCTAACCCGCCTCTTGGCGGGACAGGCCAAGGTCTACGGACCGTCATGACTATATCGGGCTAGCCCGTCCCGCCCCGCTTTTGGCGGGCCAAAGGCGGGGCGAGCCAAAATGGGGCGGGCTGACCCGTTTTGCCATCCCTATCAATCTCTAACTCTAAGGTACTGGGTTCGAATCCTGCCAGTAACAATTCTTTAAATCTAATAATAATTCAAATTTCTAAAAAATATAATAAATAATAAAAATATATTATAAAAGAATATAAAAGGGAGATTAGAGAGTTATAAAAAATATTTTTAATTTTTTAATGTTTTTGTTAATTTTTTAATGTTTTTGGTAGTGACCGATATAGTGACTGACTCAATCGGTCACTAATTCGATCATTGAATCGGTCATCGATTCGATAGCTGAAATCGACGACCAAGAAAATAGTGACCGATTTGGGTTGGTTACTATTTTGGTCACTATTTTAGTTAGTAACCAATTTTGATCATGACCGAAAATTCGGTCACTATTTGATGTTTTTGTTGTAGTATAATGAAATGACTAATCGCATACAAATATACCTGCTTTTATTTCTTGTTTGCTTCGTGGAGAGAAGGGGAGGAAAATAAATAATTTTGCAGATTTACGAAAAAGTATAACAATTGAAACTGAAGATATTTCAACAGTTAATTTACAAAATATTTATGATTTAATATATGACAAATATAAATATTTTATAAATGAATTGTCGAAATAGTTAAAAATATTTATAATCCTATATATATATATATATATATATATATATATATATATATATATATATATATATATATATATATATATATATATATATAGGATTATTTGACACAACTTTTAATACACTAATTATTTAGACATTTCGAAAAAAAAAAACACCCCATCACTACTACAAATAAAGCTTTCAACGTCGGTTGTTGAGCCGAGCGTTGTAAGTATGATTTTTTAAATTAATAATTTTTATTTATTTACAACCCCTTTACCCCCTTTTATTTATCTAGAAGTCTTCCCTCTCTTTATATTATATTTTTTAGAAGTTTATTAATTTTTTAAGAGAATTGTCATTGGAAGGATTCAAACCCGAGTACTTTAGAGTTGGAGGCCGATACTCCAACCACTAAACTACTAGAATTTTTTGATAATAACTTACAAATAAATTATATTTATATACAAATAAATATATATCCGTGTAAATATATAAATATATAAATACAAATATATTTATATATTTTGATATATTTATATAGTTATATATTTATATGTTGGATGTGAGGGCACACTCAAAAGTGAAAGTGTGTGTCGAGTGAGTTTTCAAAATTTGATGCTAAATTTGTGAGAAGATATCTTTATATGAGTTTGTAATTTAATGATAGAATATAATCTTTATAATTTTATTTATATAATGATATAAAATAAATTTGGGAAACGCGTTATTTTCTCTCAAGCGAAAAATACCAATTTTCGCTCAAGCGAGACTTGAGTAAGTGAATTTCAGTGAGCTTTAACATATTTTCACTCAAGCAAGAGTCAATCACACTTTCACCCTCGATCGAAAAATACCAATATAATTTATTTGTAAGTTATTATCAAAAAATTATAGTAGTTTAGTGGTTGGGATATTAACTTTCAACCCTAAAATACTCGGGTTCAAATGCTATCGATGACAATTCATTAACTTAAGAGAATTTTTGGCTGAAAATAAAAATAAAAATACTTTCCAGAAAATATATACAAATAAATATATATTTACATGAATATATATTTATTTGTATATAAATATAATTTATTTGTAAGTTATTATCGAGAAAATTTTAGTAGCTTAGTGGTTGGAGTATCGACCTCCAACTCTAAAGTACTGGGTTTGAATCCTGCCAATGACAATTTTCAAATTTAAGTGAGTTTTTGGGTGAAAAAAAAAAAAACTTTCTACGTCGGTTGACTAAGAACCGACGTAGAATGTGTTTATTATTCAACTTTCAACGTCGGTTCATCTGGGAACCGATGTGGAAAGTACTTTCTACGTCGTCTCAGTTATAACCGACGTTAAATGACGACGTAGAAAGTATAGTTTGTAGTAGTGTATATTAAGGACAGCATTTGCATATCAAGTTCTATCTTCACAAATTTTCTTTGTTTATTTTAATCTTTCTAAATACTGGATTACGTGTGTAGGAAATCATTTTTTATATTAATCTTCTCTAAACACTTGTTTATATTAATGTTCTCTGTATTAAATGTGAATGAAACCATTATTTTGAAAAGATTTTTTCTCAGGTATTCCTATATGCTAAAAGATAAGAAAAGCCTGTCATGATTTAGTATGTGAAGAGTGAAGAAGAGGGGGGTCATTGGCTGAGATTCTGCAGAAAAGTCGAAACCTCTGACTGAACTCAACCAAACATGGCCTCAGTGAACCACGAGAAGCTTGTCTACACAAACATATATATCAGCGAGTCAAACCATTTGTAGCCGTACCCCTGATTCCCTGCATTCTTTGCCTTGAACTGATGGACTGAGAGGAAGCAATGACGTCATTCACAAACAATGAAATGGTTTGAGCTAGTCAATTCAAGCTCATTAACAGGGCACATAAGGGGGGGTTTTGTTCTTTTCTATTTCCATTAGAAGCTCTTGTTTTTAGTACATGAAACTGACCAAGGGATGGAGGATTGTTCCCAGCATGAGGAATACTGCTACTACTATTATTTGAGCACAGACAGAATAACCATGACCTGGACTTGGACTTGTTTCCCTTCGTCCTCTTTGAGACTTCTCTTTTGCTCTTCTTAGAGATTTTCTAGTTAGCTCTAACATGCTGCAGACACCTAAGGCTTCAACTGTGATACTACTACTATGGCCTTGGTAGAAAGAACCTATATTGACTGAGTGGTAAAAGGCAGGAATCAGATATTTGCACCATATTGATATGATCACATATATCAAAGCATACTTCAAGTTGGCAATTAAAATATGGGAATAAAGTGGATTTTTCTCTAAAATTGTCTTGTTAAAATTATCTATCTAGTTCGTTTGAATCAAACATTTTACAACATTGTCATTATTTTTCACATATTTTTTATAACTTATATTTAATCTAACCTGCTATTTTTCTTATACAAAAGAGAGCATAATGAAAGAAGCTATTCAAAATAATTTTCTACTGAAACATGATTATTAGTATCAAACATGCACTGGAGGTTTGTTGCAGTAAATTATCTGAAAAATTATTAATATGAAACTGGAGGAGGGGGATATTGTATTGTGTGTCAAACACATAAGCATGCATTTGCATTAATGGCCAAATTAAAAAGACGAAAAATGGAGGCATATTCGGTTCTTGTCATGTCAGTGTATCACATGACCTTTCTCAGTAATCTCTGCGTGCGGACACAGAAAACAGGATCATTGGTACTGCTGTTCTGAAAAACCACAGACGCAGGCGCAGGTATATACCAAAACCACAAAAGAAAACAATAAAATAAATCAAAAAGCACTCATTCTTTTTACCGACCTGTGTATCTAAGTTTGATGAATAATCACTGGAAGATGTTGTAGGGGAACCAGAAAGTAACGTGTTGAGTGACGTTGACCACAAACTCTGTTAATTTTCATCCTACTCTTCACATTCAGTGGCTCTAACCCCAGAGCCCATCATCATCCTTCAACCCATAACATCAATCAATCGATTGATCGAAGAAAACGAAAAGGGTTGGAGAAAGCCCCAACCTTGTAGCGGACACTTGATGAAATGGATTGTATTCGAAAGACAATGATATAGGGATTAACGATTAACGCAGACCAGACCCACAACCTTTGCAATTATTGTGAGAAAAAAATAGACCCACCACTAAAATTAGAGAGGAAAAAGAAAAATGAAGGCATCATGATAGAGTGATGACTCTAGATGAAAATTCCAAAAGTGAAGGCAGGTAAAAGTGTACCTGTTGATCCATGTTTGGCTCAGTTCTTGTCATATAGTTTTCAAAATTATATTTGAGTAAGAGGGCCACCTAAGATGTCAGATTCCAACGTAGGAATCGTCATTTTCTCTTCGTTTTCTGCTGCGGACCCAAAAGTTTGATTATCACAGCGGTCAAAAGGGTAACTTTCATTTTATATACACTGGTTTTGGAAAGGCACTGGATCAGGAAACAAAGGATTTGTTTAGGATGTTTCATGAATCAGATAAAAGAAAAAAATCTGCTTTAGTTATATCCAAAAGTACAATAAAAATAAAATATATAATGAAAGAATTATTCCTAAAAAATGTACAAAATTTAGCCTCTATGCAAAATTAACTAAGATAAGAAAAAAATTGTTAAAAAAATTAATCAGAGAAGAAAAACTGAAAATCTCCATAAATGCTTTTGGAACAACAAAAGTAGTAAGGGAGAACTCAGTCAGAGGGAGGAGATAGAAAAGGAATGAGACCATGTGTAACAAACAAAAATGATGCAGGCTTGGGGAGTTGTGTTGAACAGGAAAAGTGAGGGGGTGTTTTAGGTAATGTTTGAAACATATCATAAAAGTTGGGCTTTGACCCAAATAAGTTTGGGCTTGAAGCACTTTTCAGTTTTACCCAAATTAGTTTTAGGTAGTAAACTTCTTAATAACTAAAATAAATATTTTCTGAAAGTAAATTCATTTTTATTTCTGAAAATTGCCCTTTTATATACTCACGCATGTATTGGTAAATCCCATGCTGTATTTGGACCAAGGAAAATTTGATTTAACAATTTTATAACAGCAAAAACTACACAAGTAAATCCAAACAAAAATGGTTTGAATTCGATATTAAATTAAAAGTAAATTCAAGTTCTATGTAATATTTATGTTTGATTCGAATAATTAGTAATAGTTGTTTTTATCATGCATTTATACTGTATTGGTAAAATAAAATATATAATAGTTTACGATGAAAGACTTTCGAAACTTAATTTCAAAATAGAACAGAGGAGTAAATTATGGAAAAATCTTTACATAAGAATTATTTTAATATATAAAGTCAGTCTACGATAATAATGTTTAATTAAATTAAATATATAAAATTAATGTTATCTAAAAATGTTTATATTTTTTCTTTAAGATGAATAATAACATAAAATATTAAGCTAAACTCTAGTTATTTTAAAAATTTATAAAAATATTTATGAACTTTTTTAGAAAAAATATTTAATTAAAAATTTATTATATCCACATCATTTTTTAAAATAGATAATTGTGACATTTTTTTCTTCTTCTTATTATTTGTATAAGAGTAGCAGGTAAAAAAATATTATATACATGTAAAAGTAATTTACATCACTATATATATAAAAGATATACAAAAGAAGAAGGAATTTTATTTTTGATTCCTTCTATTTTTTTCTACAATTTTAAAAATATTTACATTACCTGTGGAAACAAACTGATTAAGGGGTTTTGGAAAAAGGTAGGAGACATACAAAAGGTAACCACTACTGGTCCATCTAACATAATGAGATTTTCCATATCAGATACAAATGTTATTATTGATAATCTTGTCCCTCTAAAAGTAATTGAGTTGTCTATTCCAAGTAGTTCCTGGAAAGAAGGTAGTGATGCTTGCAGAAAAGGGATTTGGAATATTTGGCGCCTCCATCTACTTAAGTTGGTGTTTAAATAAAACATGCACAAAAGATCACAATAGGGAGTGAAAACATTTATCATTTACAATAATACAATCTTATATAGATATATATGCTTTAACTTCCTCAACACATTCTATTTTATGAAGATTTAAAATTAAATTTGTAGTAACTAGTCAGGATAAATGAGTCCAATATTAATCACTCTCACAGTGATATTTACTCATTTAAATCCTCAAGGTTCAACTTCCATCTACAATATCATCAAATCTTCACAAATAGATATTATTATAATTGAATAATATAACTATAAATTAATAAATAGGATCGCTCCATTACTAGAGATAAAATAAAGTAAACAAACAAGACCAGTACATAACTGAAGATAATTAAAATAGGACTACAAGACTGAAGATAAAATAAAATAAACAAACAGGACCAGTACATAACTGGAGATAATTAAAATAGGATCAGTACAAGACTGAAGATAAAATAAAATAAACAAACAGGACCAGTACATAACTGGAGATAATTAAAATAAGACCAGTACAAGACTAGAGATAAAATAAAATAAACAAACAGGACTAGTACATGACTAGAGATAATTAAAATAGGACCAGTACAAGACTGGAGATAAAATAAAATAAACAAACAGAACCATTAGTTAGAGATAAATAAATAAATAACTAAATAAATAGAATGAGGTCAGAGACACCTCACTCCACAACTATAAACAAAATAAAATAGATTTAATGATAATATTCTCCTCCCCTACCTTAAGAACTGCGGATGAGGTACCAAAATTTTACAGAAACAATTTTTTTTTCTCTCTTTCTCTTCCTCCCTCTCTCTTTCTTTCTCTTTCTCCCTTTCTCTTTTTATTTCTCTCTCCTTCTTTCTCTCTCCTTCTTTCTCTCTCTCCCTTTCTCTTTCTCTCTCCTACTTCTCTTTCTCTCTATGGGTCTTCCCCCTTCCCTTTTTATAGATTTTTTTTCTTTTTATTTATTTAATTACATAATCATAAATGCAGTAATTATGATTTTGATAAGGTTTATCTTTTAAGATAAGATAATGTTTATCTTTTACATTAATTTGAGATGTTACATTTCTCCCATACTTACAGAAATTTCGTCATCGAAATTTTTAGCGACTAAAATAGATGAGGGTAACTTTCTTTGATTCTCTTTTCTAATTCCCACATAGCATCTCCAATAATTTCATTCCTAACAACTTTTACTAGTGAAATTTGTCTTCCCCTCAATTGCTTGATCTTCATATCTGTAATCTGTACATGCATTGTTTCAAATATAAGGTTATCCTTTAAGTGTACTGTATCTGGCATTATTACATGAGAAGGGTCAGAAATATATTTTCTTAATTGAGACACATGAAACACATTATGAAGATTAGAAAGGAAAGGGGGTAAGGAAATTTGATAAGCAACAGGACCTATTTTTCTAAGAATTTGATAAGGACCAATAAATCGAGGAGTGAGTTTCTTGGCTTTCATTACTTTACCAACTCCAGTTGTCGGTGTTACTTTCAAGAATACATGCTCACCTTCTTGGAATTTAAAGGGTCGTCTTCTTTTATCAGCATAACTTTTCTGTCGACTTTGAGTTGTTCTTAATTTTTCCCTAATCATCTTAATTTTCTCTGTGGTTTGTTGAATCATGTCAGGACCTAAGATTAAATTTTCTCCAGTCTCAAACCAACATAAAGGTGTCCTACATTTTCTCCCATACAATGCCTCATAGGATGTCATACCTATGCTAGAATGGAAACTGCTGTTATAAGTAAATTCAATTAATGATAAGTATCAGTCCCAGCTACCAGAATCTTCTAACACACACGCTTTCAACAAATCTTCCAAGGACTGAATGGTTCTTTCTGATTGTCCATCAGTTTGAGGATGATAAGCTGAGCTAAGATGAAGCTTAGTTCCTAAGGCTTGATGTAGGCTTCCCCAAAATTTAGAAGTAAACCTAGGATCCCAGTCATAAATAATACTAGATGGAACTCCATGTAATCTCACAATTTCTTTTATGTACAATTCAGTCAGTTTTTCCAATGAATACCTGATGTTAATGGGTAGAAAATGAGCAGACTTTGTCAACCTATCCACGATAACCCATATGGAATCAAATTTTTGAATTGTTCGTGGTAAATCAACTATAAAGTCCATTGCAATACTATCCCATTTCCACTCAGATATGTCTAAAGATTGTAGTATTCCTGCAGGCCTTTGATGTTCTATCTTAGCTTTTTGACAAACTAAGCATGATGTTACATATTGTGCCATTTGCTTCTTCATTTTAGGCCACCAAAATATTTTCTTAAGATCTTGATACATTTTTGTTGTGCCTGGATGTATGCTCAATTTACTCTTATGTGCTTCATCTAAAATCAGTTTTCTAATCTCTACATTATTAGGCATACATATCCTACCACTAAATCTCAAAATTTTTGCTTTATCTATGCTAAATTTTTCTCCATTCTTTTGTCCTATCAACTTTTTTTTTCTTTTGAATAAATTCATCAACTACTTGAGCCTCTTGAATTTGTCTTTGTAATCCACTAGTAATCTGAGTTAAGTTTAATTTTATTCTATCAGGGTTCATGGTAATTGATAAATTCATGTTTCTGAACTCTCCTAGCAGACTCATATCGTGAATCATAAGGGAAGAGACATGTAAAGATTTTCTACTTAAAGCGTTTGCTACTACATTTGCCTTTCCTGGATGGTAATGTAATTCAAAATCATAATCTTTCAAAAATTTCATCCATCTTCTCTATCTCATATTTAACTCTTTTTGATCAAACAAGTATTTAAGACTTTTATGATCACTAAAAACCTCAAACTTACCATCATACACATAATGTCTCCATATTTTGAGTGCAAAAACGATGGTGGCTAGTTCTAGATCATGAGTTGGAAAATTTTTCTCATGTATTCTTAATTGTCTCGAGGCATATGCAACTACTCTTCTATCTTTCATAAGAACACATCCTAATCCCATTTTGGAAGCATCACAAAATATCACAAAATGTC